TATTTCCTGATTTATAAACATTTCTGAAGGTAACGTTGAAAATTTCTTATATTGATAACATTTTTGTGATTTTATTGGCTTCTGTTGATTTGTTGAAACAAGTTTGATGAGAGAATCAGAGATATAGTAGGGGGTGGGGGAATCCTACTGTAATCGATATGACACTTCTGTTAACCTTCTCCGTTTATAAAGACACTATTCTTCGATTGTTTAACACTCATCGGGAAGTGTCATTATACGTTCACACTTTCCTCATTTCGCTTTTTGGGGAGTAATTGGTAATCTTGTTTCATCTACGAGACGGTTTTGTAATGGAATGGAAAGCAATGGGTGGGTCGAAAAAAGCACAACGCCTACGTATGAAAACGAATGCCGAATACATTTAAACAAGAAAAAAGACATAATTGCTCATACTAGGAATACTAGCTCTCGGCAACTGCGTTTTTATCGTTTGAATACCATGGTTAATGAAGAAACTGAATTAGTTCGCTTTTGAGGATTGTCTTTTTGCAGTTAATTTTCTGTGTATTTTTGACACGCATGATCGCTCTTCTCTTCACAATTTTTGAAATCCTCATACTTAATATAATTGTACGTTTGACTTTAAAAAAATAAGTTGATTGTTAAAATTGTAGTATTATTTTTTTAACTATGTTTTTGAAAAGCATTACCACTTTGGGCTCTTCTCATTTAAACAACTTTTAATCCTTTTAGCACTTAATATTTTTTGGTAATGATGGAGAAATTTTTATTTTTTAATTAGATTTTATTCATATTCTGCTAATATGATTAGAATTTTTGTTTCAGCTAATAGTCTTCGAATTATAATAGATATGTTTTTAAATAATTATTTGAACTCGCGCCTTAAACAAAAATGGGAAAAAGTGTTTTCCGTATTGCCGAACGATGTCGAGCAAGCATTAAAAATAACTATTCAGAAAAACAGTGAAAATACAATTGACAGATATTGATTATCACAGTTTCTGTCCGTGAATTTTATAATTTTGTGTATGTTTAATAATTGCATGTTAATCTTATCCCTGACCTTTCTCATTTTGAACCAATGAAAAGCTCCAAGCAGGTATAATTTCGCAGTTTCGAGACAGCTGTTTCCATTTCCTAACAACGACCTCGGACAGCTAACATGGCCGACCGAAAACCTTGGCTTTTGTTGAATGAACTAAGCTAGTTTTTGGTCTCGCCTTGTTGAAGGATAACAAGCAAGAATAAAGAATGAAAATAATACTGATGACATAAGCTGTGCGTCAGATCCCTGATTGACGTTGATGCGTTTGTCTATTGCATCTTCTCCTATCCTAAGCAGGTCAAACAAAAGCTTTGCTCCGGGCTTCATTGATTTTATATTTAAGGGGGAAACAACTAAATATGGAAGCGTGTCTCATATTACGGCCGTGTCATTATCTTCCCCCTTTTAGAGCTTCCATCAATGAAAGAAGCCGTTACAGCAAATATTGTCTTTCTCGGGGTTTGTTATGAATTATATAAGGTTCGTTGAATTGCTCGCCAGTTTCGTGCCTAGGGGAGGGGAAAGTCAATACTTCCCTATTGCTTTTATGATTGCAATTTGTGTGTGATTCTTGTTTATTGACGATGGACGATATAACGTCTCATTTGTGCACGTGCTATGTTTAATTTCGATATATATAGGGTTGTAATTTGTTCCTTAATTGCACCAGAATTAATTATCCTTCACATATTGAATTGGGTTCAAAACAAAATCCAATTTCCTATCGATGCGCAATATTTTGTTTTCGAAATAAAATAACTATACGCGTATTTCATATTTCTCGAACTTTTCTCTGTACAGTGAAGGGGAGGGATTAGTTGATATTAAGAGAAAAATTTCTGAAATTTACTTTTAGATTAATTTGCAAAAACTACAATGTTTAACAATTTTTGATGCTTGTAATATACAAAAGTAATTGTGAATTACTTGTTTTGTGGTCGTGTGTATTTGTGCATTGTGCACTTGAAGTTTTTATTTGCTTCTTTTTTTTAATGCTTTGCGACCGTCACTCATTGTAAGTGCTAATTCTTTTACTAAAAACTAGAGAATATAATTTAAAACTTTTCCAATTTATCCAGAAATAAGTGAAATATCTAAAATATAACACACTGGTATATGGATTAGATTATGACAGACAGTTAATGATGAAAATTTTGGTTTTATCTTTAATTAATTTTGCTGAACGTGTGTTAGAACAAATGTATATAATTATTTCAGTTTTAACAAATATCGTATTTTCCATTACTCGATTTCTTTTTCATGCCTAGAGAAACATATGTTGAATTATTCTTCCTTCAAATACGTATATAAAAGACCCCCCCTCAATTATGATGTACGTTTGGTTTAAGTATTGTAGTTTTTCTTTTTAGCAAAATTTTCTTTTTTTTACGCGTATAAAATCTCAAAATTAATTTGTTAGATGGTTGCTCATGAGTATTTGCATTTAGGACCTCATTTTAAAAGAAAATACATTTAAATATATATATATATATATATATATATATATATATATATATATATATATATATATATATATATATATATATATATATATATATATATAATTACATAAAGACAGGACCTAACTACAGTTTCCCATTTTGCTTTTAATTACATACTTATTTTGCTTTTCATAAATGAGAATTTTCATCTTATAATTAACTAGATAGCTGTGACTTGAAGGGATTGCTGTACTAGTAAATACTAAGTAATGTGTATTCCAAGATTTTTTTTTTGTGGAGAATTATAAAATAATTATTCTTCGTCTGAATTATTTTAGCGTGTTCTGATTTATATTTTCGTTCTCTCATGGGTATAAAAGCAAAAATTATTTACACCCTCGTTCCATTTGCGTGGAAAATTCCATGTTCTTAACCGTATCAACAAGGACACGTTGTGAAGAGCAGTTCTTCGCAATTGAAGCTGAGTTATTTTTAAGAGCTCATTTAAATGAACAAAAATAGCGTTGCAATATGAGGGGTTGTAAGTTGTAACTCAACGAATGGATGCGTGTGTTAATACATTATATTTGGAGGTTATCACCTGAAAGAAACATTGACAGTTATGCTTCAGTTAAGCTTCTTCACTGGACCATCTTACTGAAGTATTAAAAATTTGGTCTGGAGAATAAGGAAAGAGTTGGGCTTATGCGCAGATTGCTTTGCTGGCCGAAACTCCATAAATGAAAATGTATAAAGGCAGAATTCCAACTAATCGAATTTAAAAACCTTTTTAGAAGTAGTATTTTTTACTAGATACTTACTTTAAATGAAACTGTCTAATACAATAGTCATTTAGATCTAGGCCATAAAAACATAAAAAAAGAAATTTTGTTTCGAATAATCAATCATTTGTTTAGCTAATTGATTTAATGTCTAGTGATGCCTTATTCAACAGAAAAGATGAATTCTTCATTTTAGTGTAAATATTTAACTGGTATTGGTATTCTGAAAAATGATAAGATTTCTTTTGATGTTAGATGCAAGTTTTCTGCTGCCATAATTGGATTTTTTGGAAAAGATATATACAATTGATGTGTGTGTGTGTGATTCAGTTAAACTGATACAATTTGTAAGAATCAAAAGATATATATCTGAAGTTAGATCTGACTCAACAAGGCATTAAGAAACATAAACCGTAAAATTTTTTTATTTTACCTTTTTATTAGAAAAGTAATTGAAATCCTAATCTGAAGTTAAACTTATACGAGACGACGTTTATTATAGCAATATTGAGCTTTTCAGTGGGGAAAATATAAATAAATAAAAGCTTTTTCCCCCGCATAAGAAAATGTAACATCGCATAGAATTTTTGTATACCGGTATCACACACACACATTATCAGGTCCTATTATCTTTTTTCTTCTCAGTGAAATGGCACTTTTATTCTTTTATTTTTTGCAGCGAATTGAGATAGAAAATGCTTCTATACTTCTTTCAAATTCAGTTCTTTGTCATTTAATCTCCCTTTTGTTATCGTAAATGTGATTGAAATTTGGGAAGATTACACACATATATGGAGAGAGAAAAAGTCCCTGGTGATTCATTTTCTATGTATAAGTAGTACTCTGTGTATGAGGGAGAGATCATAAAATCTTTCATTTGCATTTCTCTTCCCCCCATCCAGAATTGCTCATCTTTTTATTTCAGTCACCTCATTAAATGCAAATTTTCATTATGGTGATGCGGAAGAAGCGTTCTGAATTATATCCCCCATCGAGATCCCATAGCTATAATTCTTTATTTAGTAGTTATTTAGCCGAGGCAATAAATTTATCATCTTATTGAAAACCTTTATGCATGGGATATGGCTGCCGGAATGTTTCTGCAAACAACGTTGTTATTTTCTTCGGCATCTTATTTAATTTATATTGCTGTTATACTTTGGAAATGTATCTCGGCATATTTTTTTATTAAATAAAAATTTTACAATTATGAGTTATTTCCTTTTTCTAAGTTAAATGCTGTTTGATTTTCATGTTTTTGTGTTTGGAATTGGAAACCACTCAAAAAACTTCCTCCCTCCCGCTCTTATATTACGTGGGAGTTGAAATGTAGTTTTTCTTATTAACAAACAATTTTGAATGTGGATACTTTAATTTTGATATCCCTCAAAATTGAACAGCATTTTCTAAAGCACTGTTATTGGTGGGTTTATCTCGTAATATTGAAATCCATTCCTTTAAAGAAGCAAGTTATTATTCTTTATCATATAAATGTTTTTTTTTTGAAATTTCTACCATTAGTTCACACTCTCCCTATATATATATTCAAATTTTCTTTTGTTAATAAAATTCTTTTTATTCATCCACTCAAGTTCTGATACATTTTTTAAAACTTGTAGTGGATGACAATTGATTTGAATACAGTTTTTCAAATATTAATTCATTAATTCTATTTAATTAATGAATAAATAGTGACAAATAAAAATAATAGTACAACACAGATATATAAACAGGAAAATCGCTCATTGTGTCCCTGTAGCGCAATGGAGTGCGCGCTGGACTTCTGATCCAAAGGACGTGGGTTTGAATCGCATCTGGGATGGCCTAATTTCTGAGAATGTAATTTCTTTTTGCTGTACTATTTTATTGGAAAAATTAAATTTAATTAATGAATAAAAAAGTAACAAACAAAAATAATAGTCCAACACCCTATATAGAAAGGAAAATGGAAAAATTGCAAGGAAAATCACTTTCCATTTTGTCACTTAATATTGTGATTCTGTCATATGTATGTATATATATATATATATATATATATATATATATATATATATATATATATATATATATATATATATATACTTATCGGCCCTAAGTCCGAGATTGCACTTGGATATTTTATAAATTTTTATTTTATTTTATAGTTTTTTTAATTTTGTTTGAAAACGATGGAATATTATCTTTTATATTCGCCATTGATATTTTGAAGTGTTTTAGTATTATAAGATTCATATATTTCTCAATTTTTCAATTGATAATTGTGATTGTTTTTATATATTTAAATATATATATATATTAATTGTAATTATTTAATAAAAAGTAACTAAAATAAAATTCTTCTTTGTTGACCGAGTAGGAATTGACTTAATTTTTTTTTATATATATGTATTACTTGTTATTAGTTAAGTTTCGAATTTTAGCATCTGAAACTTGTGTTATTCTAGTGCTTTATTGAGCAACAATAAATAAAGGTATACGTTAAATTATTATGTTTAGGTTTGAATAATATTTTTTGTTTATTTTATATTTAGCTTGACTCATCCAACAAAATAAAATAATTAAATTTGTATTCAAAGTTATTTAATCCACAAAGAAAGTTAAAACAAATTCGTATCGTAATTTTTCTAAAGGTTTTTTTTTTTAAAAAAAAGTACATTTAATTAATGATTTAGTTACTTTTTTTTTTATCCCAGCGCAAAAATTAAGAGAATTCACATTCTTTCCTTATTGCTGCGATTGGATGTAAGAACTTTTGAATGATTAACTAAGCACGCAAGACAACTACGCATTCTCTTCCATTTTTACAAGCTTTCGCGAACTATCTTGTCTTCATCAAGTGCATCCATCAATCATTGATATAGTTGATGAAACATTCGATGTATCTTACTTAGTTTGAAGACTGAAATAGTAAATTGACGCCGCTTTATTATGAGAGATTCTTTGATAGCGGCTCATTCATTCATAAGTAGTTACGACTTTTATTAGATTTGCTTCGTTTATTGTTCTTTTTGATCAAAGTGAATGGTATAATAACCCCTTTATCTCAATAACTTCTTTGTTATCCAGTGTGTTAATCAATAGCATTTTAAATTACTCTGTCATAAGCTTGATTTCTTTTGAAGGGTTTTATTTCCTAAACATAATTACAGCTGTAGATAAAGTAGGCTATTAGTTCTATGTCAGTTATCTGACAGTTTCAACACTGTTGGCTTTTTTTTACCCTGTAAGGCAGCGGTTCTTAAACTTTCGATCGCCGCGGCCCCCCTTTATGTATCAGCGTGACATCGAAACCCCCTAGATTTGAAACAGCCCTCCCCGACTTAATAGGGCCGTGGTAGCTTAGTGGTCAAGGTAACGGACGTGTTGCAGTTAGGAGAGGGGGCAGCTAAGGTGTCGCTTTCGTCACTTGACCATGGTTCAAAATTACGAGGTCCGTCGCCAAAAGCCTTCGTGTAGCTGAAGAGTGCGACGTTAATATTCTCTCACCCACCTTGACTTAATATTCTCGATAAAAATACAAGTTGTAAGAAAATTTTTCATTGGAGACGATTTAATGACATAGTCTATGAGGGCACTTCTTTGAATTTTTCCACGATGCCTTTCATAATCTGTAAGAGCGGGGAAAATCTCAACGTTACAGGAGAGACTCCGCGGGCCCTATAGAAAAACGCTGAATAGAAAAACGAAAACCGCTATAGAAAAACGCTGCGGACCCCTGGGGTCCGTGGACTACAGTTTAAGAACCGCTGGCCTAAAAAATAATTCCCTTGTGACGTTTTTAGAAGCGATCAAAATTTTCCGTTTTTCAGTTACTAACTTATTAATGTAGAGACATCAAGTGTATATCTCGCATCGTTTTAAGAAATGAATTGGTAGGATTCGGATAGAATATATAAATATTTCTCTTTATGCAAAAAATAAATCTTCAATTCAGTGTTTTGGCCATCCGAAAAATGATTGATGATTTTAATTTCAAAATTATCTTTACTTTTTTTTTTATTTTTGGTTATGTAATGTAATATAATATAATGTATAGTACATAATTTAAAAAATTTAGTAAAAAGATTATCTCTTTTTTTTCTTAGTTATAAATATTGATATTCATTATAGAAGCGTTAGATTTCATTAATAATCTACTCACACAGTTTGAAAAGAGCATGTTTTTCTGGGAATAGGCGCCTACGGCGCCGGCGCCCGCGATCATCTAATTTTAGTTTAGCATTTTTTTTTCTTATCTCTCAAATGACGCTGAGGCTCAGAACTTTTGTCCAGTGTAATGCATGAAAAATTAATCTACAAGATGTATTTGTGTATAGTTGTATTTTTTAAGAAATTAAATTTAAACTGAGCAGTTTTCTCTCAGATAAAGTGATTTCTCTAATCCACATAATGTAGGATGTTACATGTAACTACCACCCAGAAGTTGTCTGTGCGAAGTATTTTTTTGAGATTTCTTCGTTTCTTCTTCTTTCTTTCTACAGCTATTGCTTTGTGTATCAGTGGAATCTGAAAAAAATGTCTCATAGTCTGTTGTAGGCATGTATCACGTTGAGTTCCACCGCAGTACAAATTACTCTACATACACTTTTTTTTTTGCGATGGATATATTGAAATTCTGCCGCTATTTAAATTGCAACTGATGCATATTTTATTTTTGCTCTGTAAGTTCTTGCACGTACTCAAAGTCTGTTAGGGCTAGACGAAGTCCATGATTTTGTGCACCTGAAGAAAATCCAAATCCAGGGACGTCTTAAGGCATGGGCCAATTGGGAATTGTCTGTGGCCTCAATCGCAATGGGAGCATTGTCTCAGTCTTGACTCAGCTTGAATAAAATCATGATTAGAATAATTTCAACGGTCAAATGTCATTTTCGGTTGTATTCTCCAAAAAACTGGCAACTTAGGACGAAATGTCAACTGGCTACATGTGATGACCGTCGTCCTTGTAAAGGGTGTTTTTTTGAGAGGTATAGAACTTTAAATTGCAATAAAACAACGATGTATTATTCGATTGACATGAATTTTTTTTTATTCGAAAGATAATCTTGTGGCATTACATTTTAAATGTGATTTCTGGCATAGGACTGCCACGGCTGGCTCGGGTGTAGTCCAATCTGGACGTCCAATTTTCGATGACTTTTTCCAACATTTGTGGCCGTATATCGGCAATAACACGGCAAATGTTGTCTTCCAAATGGCGAAGCGTTTGTGGCTTATCCGCATAGACCAATGACTTTACATAGCCCCACAAAAAATAGTCTAGCGGTGTTAAATCACAAGATCTTGGAGGCCAATTCACAGGTCCCAAACGTGAAATTAGGCGGTCACCAAACGTGTCTTTCAATAAATCGATTGTGGCACGAGCTGTGTGACATGTTGGCGCCGTCTTGTTGGAACCACAGCTCCTGGACATCTTGATTGTTCAATTCAGGAATGAAAAAGTTAGTAATCATGGCTCTATACCGATCACCATTGACTGTAACGTTGTGGCCTTCATCGTTTTTGAAGAAGAATTCCACCAGCCCATAAGGCGCACCAAACAGTCAGTTTTTCTGGATGTAACGGTGTTTCGACATACACTTGTGGATTAGCTTCACTCCAAATGCGGCAGTTTTGTTTGTTGACGTAGCCATTCAACCAGAAGTGCGCTGCATCGCTAAAAACAAAATTCGCTTATGAAAATCGACCATTATTTTCGAAATAAAATTTCACAATTTGAAAGCGTTGTTCAGGCGTGAGTCTATTCATGATGAATTGCCAAACCAAACTGAGAATAAATCACTTGACAGCTGTTAAATAGGTCGCCATCTTGGAAAGTAATGCCAACTTAAACTTCTTTACCTGAAAAAAAAACACTTTATAATCCTAGGCCTACCACCATACACCATTGTAACTCATGTAGTCAAAAGGCGGCAATCGGTCAAGCCGTTTTGTGCGATTGTAAATTACGCACATTTTTTTTATATCGGGTTATTGTTTGTACAAGTATTTGGCAACGTATGCTATGTACTGTCTACTTTTAAGGGTGATAGAAGGGGCGGCTACATTTGAGTAGGGACCCAGGGCCTACTTTTGTGTAGTTGCCCAGGGCCTCAAGAAATCTTAAGACGTCCTGTCCAAATCCACACAATTCTGCACCTGATAATTATATTGACTATGGAGCTTTTCTCATTAAACACATGGCTGCGGTAGTCTAGTGGTCATGGTCGTCGACTCGTGGCCGGAAAAAAATCATACTTTTAAGATAGAAATGTCTACAGAGTTAAGATATACAATGTCATAAATAAAGTATTTTGAGAAATTGGTTTCAAAGTTTTAAACTAACATATGTGTGTGAAATATGCTTTGAAAGAATTAAATTTTTTTATATAATCAGATCCCCCATTAATATATTATTTTCTTTCAAAGTACATTTCGAATCTGTTATCCTGCCAGTATAATGTCAATTGTATTAAAAACACAATTTCAAGCTTATAATTGGTGAACTGAATATTCTGTTGAAAGTGAGAAATAATGGAATAAAATATACAAAAAACAGAAATTTCTTTCCATTTCTAGTGTACTTTTAAAAAGTCCATCTTCGTTATTAGTGAGTGAAGAATATTTGTGCTTATGTAATAAATAGTGCAACCGCTTTGTAACGCGAATAAATAAAATAAATTCTACTCCGCGATGTTACCACATGTTTCTTAAAAAATTCGCTATTCTTATCATAATGAATAACAAGTCTGTAGTTTTAAATTTCGACTCTTCATTTGAAAAATGCGTTGAACTAAGTTTTCTTTGTATGGAGATAGAAACAAATTACTCTGTAAAGTAACT